ACGAAAATTTCTTTCAGTGCAAATATAAATAAACGAGAGAGAGAGAGAGAGATAGTATGCAGGAAGAAAAGGATGAATAAGATAGCACGTGGTGGCTAAGATCCGGAGCACATGTAATCGAGATATTGTGACAACTGCTCAAGATTATTCTTGAATCTCAACATTTTAAACTTTAAGATGGAAATTATGGCATGCTAACTATTTAGTCGAATGGACTAAATTGTGAAACTATAATCACATTAATCGATAGTAACCGTACCCAGGACGAACATTACGACGACCTGATACGATCGTAAACGGCCGCATACGACAACGTATACTACGGTTTTATAACGTTTCCGATCGTAAGTCGCCGTAATTTGACGTTTTGGCATGCATCGTATTACGGCCATGTTTTGCCGTGTCATAAACGGTTACTAACAGCCATAATGTGGCCGAATATTTCAGTATGCGACCGTATACGATCGTTTTTGACACGATGCAAAACGACCGCAATACGGTGCATGCCAAACGGCCGTGTACGATCCAAGTTGATCGACCTGGGTAATTGAGCTTGGTAGTTTCATTAGTCGTTCCAATTGAAAATAAGATACTACATCGGCCTTTACATATACGTTTTCTCTCATTCTTAGATTTATAGCGAATACATCTGAGTCATTTCTTATTATAGAATGTTATGTTCAAACTATTTACAGATCCACAGCATTCAAGTTATAGAGCTTTAATTATTATTATTCTTATATCCGCATCATTTAGTATGCATGAATTTACTTTATATAGATTCGATTCTCATTTATCTACAAAATATTTTAAAAACGAAATACAAGCAACACGACTTTCAATCTGTCAAAACTATTCGCTCAAAAATAATAAAATTTGCGAATATTACAAAGCATTCTGAAGCAGATTCTAGTAAAGTTTACAATAATATTAAAAATTCAGGCAACCAGAATGAAAAAGCCAACTGATCGACTCTCATATCACCATTACCCAAGTCGAACTCGTACGGCGGGAAACGGCAGGAAAACACCGAAAATCCCTGGAAGGTGGGAGCAGTATTCTGGTCGGAAATTTTCGGAATTTTTCCTGTGAACTCCCAGCGATTTGCTGTGCGTTCACGCAGGAACCGATTGGAAAATCACCGGAAAACAACCGAAAATTTCTGGCCGGAAGACTGCTTCCTATTCCCGCAGTATCCGTTCTCCGGAATCATTGACCTGGGTAGCGACATTCAACATCAAGAATGCTGTTTTATTGAATTCATAACCGCAACGCTACAACACAAATGAATTGATTAATGCAACGAAAATAAAAATGCGACCGTTGAAAATCAACGCCTATTATCAAAGTGAAGTTTGCAAAAAAAATCATGAATAATATTTAGTGAATTTACTGTTTGAAGTTCCGCATATTAAGCAGGACTATTTGGTCCCATTACTCGAAAGAAACCATATATCTATAGAAAACAATTTTATAAAACATCTAGAATACAGTTATATACGATTAGATAAAGAAAAAACCTAATCTTTTTGGGTCACGTGGAAAAATTATATGGTATGAAAAACACCAACTGTAGAATATGACCTTAAATGTATATTGCTCCAATTATAAAACTAGTGGCGGAGCCAGAGGGGGAGCTTGGGGGAGCTGAGCTCCCTCTAGAAAATTTTGTCGCTATTTAGGCTGTTACTGTCAAATTATCTTTACTAAATAATTTCAATGCAAATACTAGAAATTAGCATAGCCGTTTGCCTATTTTTAATCGACTAAGAACAACTTAGACCTTTTTTCTCTTCATTTTTTATGAGCAAGTCTTTCAATTTCAAGTAATTCTAGCGATGCCAATTGTAAATCAAAAACCGTGATTAAAGATACTAAATTGTCAACTATAATGGATATACTTAATGAATTAAAACCAATGAAACAAGCATTTCCTTCAACTGTGGCTTTGATCAAAGGTGCTGTCACATTTCCTGTGTCGTCCGTCGTATGTGAAAGGTCGTTTTCCAGGATGAAATTGATTAAAAATTATGCTCGAAATTCGATGGGTGATGAAAGACTTAGTGATCTTAGTGTATTGGCTATTGAAAGAGAATTTGACATAGATTTTGAAAAGGTTATTGATGTATTTGCCATACAACATAAAAATAGTAGAATTTTGTTAATGTGATTAAGTGATATGAAATACATTTAAATATAGAATCCCATTCATATGTTGATATAAACATAATGTTTATAAATATATGAGCAAGAACTGATTGAATAAGATATTAGGGCTCAGAAAACTGACTCAAACATGACAGTTTTCAAAAAACAATTTTACTATCGTAAGTAGACTTTGAATAATTAAGATGGAGCTGAGCTCCCTCTAGACTGAAATCCTGGTTCCGCCACTAGTTTACATTCCTTTTCGTTGTAAATAGAAATCTGAAACGATTTACCGGCATTCAAAGTACTCTTCTTCAGCACATACACTTCTTGTAATATTGTATCAAATCGACGGAGTGTGTGTGCGTGTCACATTCAATTATATCCACATATTTTCTGAAATATTTTATGCCATAGACTGGCCTCGGATTCTTCCTATATTTCCTATATTTTAAAAATTCCTATTTTTCTCCTATATTTAGATGAATTTTCCTGCATTTCCCATAAAAAATGTATAAAAGTAGAAAATTGCTAAAAAACGCTTTTGTTTTAGTATAATTATCGGTCTTTTTAAACAAATCGATTCGATAAATATTGATTGTTCTATATTTTTTGAATTTTTCACAGGAACTCTATTTAAAATACAATTCCTTTTCACACTATCAAACGGACTAAATGAAAATAACTGACTATTTTAAGTAAAGATATTTAAACAAAGTAAAATAGTTTTTATAAACGCCTCTGTCTTTTAATAGCTTTTATTGCTGCCTATTACACGGATTTTATAGAGAAGAGTTTTGTTTGCCTGATGCTGTGACATAAAAAGACCCTTTTCCTTCAGGGTCACTAATAAATTGCAATTTCTTCTGCAACTATTTCTCCAAATGAAACACTTCTAGAGCTAGCTTTGTAGCGCTTTGACCGGATTTAAAAACTTTAAAAGGTTTTCTCTAAGCTATTTTTACTTAGATAAAAAGTGCAAAAAACAAACGTGACGTTTTTAGTGACACTGAAGTACAGTTTTTTCTCCATCAATTTTGAAGCAATTAACATCATCATAATTATTTGATTTTTATTAGTGCTAGTCTTTTCTTTATAACTAATCTTTCTACACAAAACGAAATCGATACATCTGTGGAAGCTCATAAGCGACACAGTGAATTAGAAAGTGTATAAAACTCTACATTATTGTGAGGTACGAAAGTCAAAACGAAATAAGCCATCTTGTAGAGACTGAAATTCTGCATTTCATGATCTGTCATTGATATTTTTCGAAAACATTTCTTGATTAAAAAACTCAACATGCTATTTTTGAAAACTTTAAAACTCAGTTTCGGTGCAGGTGGATGTGAGTGCAAGCGCAATACGAGCCATTACCCACATCCTGATCTATTTTTTATTAATGTATTAATATGTAAATAAATATATTTTTTCATTGAATTTAATTATGTCTAACTGATTTCATTTAATTTAAGAAAGAAGTAAAATGAAATCTTGACAAAAACTTAGTGCGCATGCTAATTTGATGCAGAAAAAGTTAAAAACAATGTTCAATTCGAATCTAAAGAACGAATCTTCAGTATCCTTTTTTCTTCTCATTTTTTATGCCTTTTTCTGTATTTTTAAAAATTTTGATCCTATGCAAGTTCCTACTTTTTCAAAAACTTGCAATCCAAGGCCAGGCCATAAATCTAAAAAATTAGTTATTAGTTCAGGTTTATTTAAAATTTGTCAGTTTAAAAATTAATTTCCTGATTATCTGTTATTGAAAATGAGCATTGTTTCAATTCTGCGGAGAAGTTATTTATTCATTCACGCAAAAATGCAACGAGAAACTGATGTATAGATAAAGTCCACTACGGTCTTTGATGGATACTGAACATGGCTTGTCACGGCTTACTGTGGAAAAATAATTAAAGTTTGTTACTCCTATTAGGATTTCTTCAGATAAGTTATTATAGTAATTTCAATGACATTGTATGGGGTTGTTCTTTTATTCAAACATACAACGAACTCATTGCTTTATGATTCAAATTGAATTAGAATTACATACTCACGACAGTAAGATATTGTCAATCTTTTGTGAATGTTTCATTTACTATAACGAGAAATGCCCGAATCAATTTGTTTTTCTTTTGTAACGTGGAAAAATCGAGCAAAACGATTACTAGAATGATATATTCTATTTCATTGAAGTTTAGTATTTGTTCATTGCAAATGGTAATATGAACTGTGAGTGTGGTTCGGTAGGGAGAAGATATACGTCCATATCTTCATATATGGCTTGCATATGAAGAAATCATATAAAATTCCAATATTAAATGATAAATTTTGTTTCTCCTCGACATTCTCAGATACAGGCAAGATATCAACTGCAATGTACGAGTATTGTCAAGTCGATCAAGAAAATATGGCCAGCAAGAGAAATTTAATAGGAGACATGTGTTAAATTGAATGAAAAACCCTTCACAGTTCTACCTATTGATAATTAAAACTTGAGGTGTTAAAAATTAAACAGTTAGTTTTTAATCAAACACTTTTCTAGTCGTTTAGAAGAAATTTTAAATTTTCAGATGTATTTTTTTCTTGGTATCTTAAGGCGTACTAAAATTTTATTACTACGAAAAATATGCTAATTTATTGTCTCAAGTATCATAAAATCTCAGATGTCGCTTGTAGTTTAAATCAAATGAGCGTCGTTGCTATGCAAAAGTTAATATGGATGGTAAGACAAAATTGACTGTTACTTTCTTCATCTAGTTACAGAAGGCAACACATAGGTTATTTTCAATCAATGTTAGAAAATTAAAATGAGATAAAACTCAATAGATTTTATTGTATTTTTTTCTAGCATGGGAAAAGATTACTATCAGATTCTTCAATTAACCCGAAGTGCCAAAGACAATGATATCAAATCAGCGTATGTAAAAAGACCAATTATTTCTTTGATGAACATGAATATTACTGTTTGTTTGTTTGTTGTTAACATAGGTATCGTCGATTAGCTCTTAAATATCATCCAGTTAAAAATACCAATGATCATAATGCTCTTACTAAATTTAATGACCTTGCTGAAGCTTATGATGTATTAAGTGATCGTATGTATTTGTATTTACATGTATAAGACATATTTCTGTTTGCTTTATTAAGATAAAAGACGAGCTATCTATGATCAATATGGTGACGAAGGTTTAAAAAATGGTGTACCCATGGGGCCAAAAAATGAATGGAATGAAGGCTATGTATTTCATGGTAATGCTGATAAAGTTTTTCGAGACTTTTTCGGTGGCGATAATCCATTTGAGGGTAGGTAGAAGAATAAAAATATATATGTATGTGCATTAAATACGTTGAATGGTTTATAGAATTTTACGCCAGTGCTGATCAAGATAAAAACTTAGGCTTTGGTGGATTAGATGGTCGAGGCCGTAAAAAACAAGATCCACCAATAATACGTGATCTTCTACTTTCACTTGAAGACTGCTATCATGGTGCAGTTAAAAAGATAAAAATTAGTCGACGGGTAAGAATTTTTTATTTCATTAGTTGCGGTTTTTTCTATGAATCATCGATATAGGATTGTTTTTAGAAACGTAATTTCAATTGTAGAAATCGAATTCATAATGTATATTTCATTAGGAGAGATGATATTTTCTTTGTGAATACTTCTTTAATTTTCAATATTTAAAATTGTAATAGAAATCCTACTATTACATGAAATATTTATAATTTGAATGCGACTGCATTTTCTGATGAAATCAAAATTACTATTGTGTCTTTTAATATGAATAAGTAGAGAATTGAAAGATAAATCTGTATTGAGTATAGAAAAACTCGTACAATGAAAGTTAAATGACAAAACACGAAAATACTAATGATATAATTATGTATGATGTATTCATAGCAATGAAATTTGTTTGTGGACACGTAACTAATAGCTATGATATTGATTTTAGTCTCTATATTCATGAAGAGTTTTAACGAAAACATGAAAGCAATATTGTTCAATGAGTATCGAGATGTTCTCCGTGCTATTCACATTCACTAGATAGAAATTAATAAAGTTTAGAAGTTTTAGTTATTCGATCTTTCACGTACAATCTAGCTATGTCGGAGAACTGATTTATTTTTTCATCAAACTATATGGTAATTACAGTAAAAGTTGTTTTTATTATTTAGGTACTGAATGATGATGGTATCACATCGAGTATTCGTGAAAAAATTCTTTCAATAACAGTTAAACGTGGTTGGTTACCGGGTACAAAAGTAACTTTCGAAGGTGAAGGTGATCAAGGTCCAAATAATATTCCATCGGATCTTGTATTTACTGTAAAAGATAAACCACATTCGCATTTTCGTCGTGAAAATGCTGATATTATCTATACAGCTAAAATAAGTTTAGGACAGGCATTAACAGGTACAACGTTACATATTGAACATCTCGATGGAAGAATACTTGATGTTCCTGTTAATGAAATTGTGAAGTAAGAAAATTTCTATTTTTTTTCCGATAATTAAAAAATGAAATTAACTTTTGATTTGATTATTTAGACCTGGATTTAAAAAACGTATACCAAGTCAAGGTATGCCCTTAATGTCAAGTCCAGACAAATATGGTGATATGGTTATTGAATTCAATGTTGACTATCCAAATGGATTAAACTCTGAACAAAAATTCCTTATTAAAGAGGCCTTAATTAATCAGAATATTAATAATAATAAAAAACAAAACCAACAGCAAAATCAAAATCGAAAGAAAGCTCTTTCGAACGACGAATAAATTTTATTTTAGAGAAAACAATCATATCTGTTTTATTTTCCCCGTTTTTTTAATGATTTATATTAAAGAAAAGCGAAAAACCAATTCTGAATCATTTTTGAAAAATATAAATAAGAGTATCTATTGAATTATATACGATAAATTAATATTCAATATTTAACGCACGAAAAGCACTAGCCAATGTCCAAAGTGGTCCAACAGCTAAAAATTGTAAATCTTGAAAGAATGAAGGTTTTTTCCCTTCTATATCATGTCCAATAAATTGTCCAATCCAAGCTAGAATGAATATGACTAATGATAATCGAAATATTCGTATTTGCCTTTGTTCCATTGTAGTCAAAAGAGCAACGGCAAATAAAATAATCACAAGCATTGCTACAGCCATTTTTGTTGATAAGCGAAAATAAAATGCGAATACAGGTCCAAGAACAAGCATTGGAATAATATGACTAAAAAGATTACCCAAACTTTGACGAAGAAATTTTGGTACTGGTATTGACCAAAGAAAACCCAAAACTGTAAAAGCAATTGTTGGTACACAAATTTTATGAATTAGAATATTCGTAGGATTTTGATGTGATGAAGAGTATTCATCGAGCCAAGTGTATAATTCAGTTCTATTATCCATACTGTGTAGTCAGTATTAAAAAAAAGAGACAATGAATATGAAATGAATGTAATTGTTTATCATAGACAAAAGGCAAAAGTATGAATTACAATGAAAAAACGTGTTTCTCTTTATCTCTTTATTTTGAAGAAAAAAGAAACAAACATTTCTTCATTATGATATTGAGTTATTTTAAGACATTTACTTAGAGGTCATTTTTGAATGAAGGATCACATCGAAATAAAAATGCATTGATTATTACTTGACCTAAATGTTTCGTAGTAAGAATTTTGGATAACGCGATAGATTCTAATGTGAGCTGAACATAGACTCGTGCTTCATAATTACATGTCAGCTTGACCCAAAAATTTTCAATATAAGACAATCAATCAAATCAAAATGAAATAAGAAATTCTAATGATTTTTTAGCTGATGCTGGCAAATCGCTGGCTTGTTTTGATCTATCACTATCTAATAACATTCGACGTGGAAGAAATGCACGTTGATTTTTTTATTGTTTCAGATAAATTTGTATTTTTTCTTGGCATTCCAATTAAATTAATCAAAGGTGCTCAATCATAGCCAAATAATCGTTCAAGATTTGATGGTAGAAAGACTGTTTTCGGTTCAACTAATGATAGAGCATCATTAATAGAAGTAATATATGCAGACCACATTGGTCCTAAATAAAGACTATCGAGCATTTTGTCACCAATAATTGTTTCATCAATAGTTTTATGCAATTGTTTAGGCTGAACAAAACAATTTTGCCATTGTTCCACACTATTTGCTGCTTGATGTGAACAATCAATTGAATTTGAACAAAAAATGCTCATATTTTATAATACGAAATGATACATGAGGAATGATGCCAACATCAACAGCAGCAAGAAATAGTATAACAGATAAATAATAATTAGCCGCTGCCCACCAACTATCTAATGACATAGTTAATGTATTGTTAGTGAATAATCTATTAGATTCATATTGCCAACCAAATTGTGATGAAAAAGCAAAGAGAATATTCGATTCATTTGATGATGAACAAAATGTCATTCAAGATGTTGTAAAGCTAATCAGGATTTTATATAACAAGCCAAGTCTATGTGAATAAAACCATGGATCAATTAATCGTTGTTGAGAAGATGAATCGTGTACTAATGGTTAGTCCGTTCATGAAGATGGAACTGTATGTCATAATGTAGGATAATAAATTTTATCACTAGAAATCGTACTAGCGCCAATATGAAAAGTGATTGAGAGAACATGTGTGAAAAATATTAATAAATATATATTAGCCATGAATAATTTGATATACTTGAACAATAAAGAATGTGAAGAGAACATACACACTTTGTACTATCTACTATTGTATACTGCATATATATATATATATATATCGATAAAGAATTATCTATCGAACTAAGCAGACAGAATATCTATTCTACTAATACATTAAGTGAGATAAGTGAATCACGTATAGGCCAGAGAACTTATTTTCTATTATGGAAATATTTCAAAAGGATGGAGCTCGTAGCATAATTTTGTTCTAAACTAGATTATCTATGAATTCTTCAAATAGCATAAATATGATTTAATAAATGTTGATATGAAAATTAAAAATATTGCAAATTTGAATTCTTTTAAAACGCAATTGCAAACAGCAACATATCGATATTAAATAGTTTATTCTCTCGACCAGTATATACAGTACATAAAGAAGTAAAATGGTAGAATAATAAAAGACGAGAGCAATAGGTAAAAACATATAAACGAATTGAACAATATTCGTTTCTATTGCTATTTAAAAATTGAAGTGCATATGATTACGTTTCTCGATGATAAAATGTATTTCAAAAAATCTCAATTTTAAGATCCAAAAATTTTTTGATTCATGCGCAAAAAATGATTGTAATCACATCAAGTTCCGTTGTGTTGTTTGGTTTTTGCTTTCTACGTAAAAATCAATAAGCTCATAACTGACTGCTAATTCATATTCTTCGATTATTATACAAAAGCTTGTTGTCATGGTAATATTTTCAAATTTTAGAAAAATACATCAATGAGTATGCAGACAAATTTATATAATAATCCATCATTATTCAATGATCATTATTTGAGTCAAATCGATGATGATTTAACAACTATCACTGATTTTGATTTATTAAAATTGCAATTGATACGTCAACGAAAAAAATTATTTTCTTTTGTTGAGTTATTGATAAAAACTGAATTGTCATATGAAAATATTGTTCAGCGCATTGATTTTGAAAATCTCTTCGATAAACAGAATCAATTGGCCAGAGAATATAATTTACTTAAAAATGAATATCAACATTTAGGACAAACTTGTTTATATTTAATTAATAAAACACATGATTTAATTGATGAACGAAATAAATATTACAATGAATGGCAAAGAAATAAATCTCTATTAACACCAAGACCTGATTGGGATAAAGTATCAAATGTAATCGATGGGGGAAAGGAGCGCTGGAAAATATTATCATATGCAAAATCAAGTGAACAATTAGTTGATGCATTAATTCAAGAGATTATGCATGGAAATCAAAGTGAATCGAAAAACGAAATAGATTACTTTGATGCACTTGGTGACGATGTATCAATTTTATCTTTTTTACGTATGCCTAAAAGTAATCGAATATTTAATAGACAAATGAGACAACACATGACAGAACTTTTAATCAAAGAAATTTGGTAAGAATTTTATTTAAATCAATACAGATTTTCACACATTAAATATCTCTAAGCATTGTAATATATTCATAACGTCTAATTTCATTGTAAATAGAATAGGCAAACGATAAGAACTGTACTTGCTTTTAGATAAGCTTCTCTAATAAAAAAAATGAATGAATAATTCATGTAAATGACTCCGAATTACGAAAACTGAGATCGACAAAATCTTGTGAAAAAATCACGACCTTGCAATAAAAACATCTGTATGTAGGACGGACAAAATTAAAGAATCTAGAGATCAACTCCTTGAACATTTGACTCACACACATCAACTTCATTCACCAGAGCCATCATACTCTCCATTTTTATCAATTCAACAATCGATGCCTACTTCGCCTGATAATAATAATTCAAAACTACATAATAAAACATTAGCGGATCATGTAGCCGACTATTTCGAAGAAAGATTTCGTTCTCACGCAATAGCTATCGAAATGGGATACAATTTACAAGATGCATGTCAACGGTATCGTAATTCTGAACGCATTAATTTATTTTGGGGTATTTTGACTGGACAAATAGAAGAAATGGTTTATCATCATCAAATGAGATCTATAAGTCAATTATTACAACATCTAATCAAAATGAAAACCTTGTATTCATTTCAACAAGAATCAATCTCATCAAAAGCTCGACAAGCCATTGTTAGTGAACCAAATTCACCTCTTTCAGTTAAAGTTAATTATCGATTATCACCATTTTCTATGAAACAATATCAAGAATCAGCAGGTATACATAACTTCGATTTTTATCGAATCAATCTATGTTAACTCTAAATTACATGATCGATTATCTATATCAGTAGCATTCAGTATGCTTTGAAGAAAATTGAGCAAGAGAAAAATATACTAGCACTGAAGATTATTAGAGATTTTCATAAAACTGAAATATTCTTGACGTTCTCTCTCTCTCTCTCTCTCTGATGGGTTCTATATAATTTAGAGTGAATAAAATACTAGCAGAAGACATACGCTGTACTCATAGTTAAGTGATTCTTCGATTTGGCATGTACCATCGTAAATCGCCTATCTTCAACTGCTTCATAGCAGAAAATTTTAGAGTATAATAAGGATTTAAATTCTCATCAACGAAAAATTAAGGTAAATCGTATCCAAACTTTATTTTCTTATTGATATTAATCATCCAGATTCAAATTTAAAAATATGATTTTTAGTTATGCATAATAAACTTGTAATGACCGAAGAACAATTCTTCGAATCATTAAATAATTTTTATACTGATAAAACTTCATTACAAATCGATGAATTATTTCAATCTGCTAAACAAGATCTTCAATATCCAGAAGAGTCCATAGCATTTAGTTTATTATTTATACAGGATGATGAAGGTCGTTTCGGTAAATTTCTGTCCACATTAATTAAACAGATAAATCAAGAGAAACTATCATATGTTGAACAACTTAAACCAATTCTTCTTGGCTATTCATTAATAAGTGTATCACAGTTTAGTCGTGCTATTCATATGATTGATGCAAATATAAATCAAAATGAATTAAATCGATATATTCAATGGGTTTTTTCAATAAAAGATTTTCATTCAACACAACAAGTAAAACCTTTAGATTTAGAAGATTTATTAAGACGTTTAGAAAACTGCGCTTGTTTTAAACATTAAAGACTATCATTATACAAATAAATCTATGAAAAAGAAAGAGTATCCATAGAAAAAAAAGAAAAAAAATGTTTCTACAAATGACGCATATCATTTTCTAAATTGTAAAGTTTTGATTTCAAATGATTCAATTCGCCTTGCATTTCTTTGGAACGTACAGCTGTTTCTTTCACATGTTGAAGAACATCAATTTCATCAGAATTACCAGTTAAACCAACAGTTACCTAAGAAAAATAAATAAGCTATGTTTTTTTTCTCTAAAAAATAACTTACGCGAAATAATTGTTTTTCAACATATTTCAATTTTTGTCGTAACATTTTAATATCAGTTTTAAAGCCTTCTATTTCCATATTTCGCCGACGTTCTAAGTCTTTAAAACGTTCATTGGATAATACTAATCGTTGACCGATTTTTTCTGATCGATCCTTTAAGAAAAAATTTCAAGCATAAATATTCAATGATGAGAAAGTTTCTAGAAAATTAAATGAAATAATTTTCAAGTCTCAAAAAGAGTTACATTTTATAAATTTCATGTAGCAAAGCAGAAAACGAAGCAGCGGAAAATTTTCTTCAAAATTCGATTGAAATTTATAGCTAGATACAACACAATAAATTATCTAGAAACTTCATGTCTATAGATCATCTATAGAATATTTTTAGCAGCATGACAACCGAATCCCTTTATTTTATATGAGAAAATATTTTTAGAAAAGAACTAACCTTATATATTTCTCGTGTAACATCGCCTTCTTCTCGTATTTTGCACAACTGTTCTTCTAATGATAAAACTTGATTTCGATACATTTCTGCAAGTTTATGCGTTTGAACATGTTGTTGTTCAAGTGCTTGAATTTCATCTTCGTATTTCTTTTTTTCTTCTTCAAAATAAGCATTTTCTTGTAAGAGAATTGATGCTGACGAAGATGTATTTTGCATATAGCTTGACGGATTTAAAAAGAGAATTTCATCTTCTTTTCTTTGCTCATGTGCAGCTGTTTTATCAAGTTCTTGTAATAATTGATCTTTTTCATTTAACCATTGTTTTTCAGCATTGCGTAAATCAAATTTTGATTCAATCACATCTTTCGTTGATTCATGAAGAAGATTTTGCATTTGAACAATCCTTTGAAGAAGAAAAACAATTTGAAATTTTTTGTAGTTTCTCAAAAAAAGTTGAAAATTGTATTTTGCTATTACTAATCATAGAGCAGTTGTTTTGTTTTATGAAATAAATTCTTTTACTCAATTATCTAGATGAAGTAGAGACGAAATATTAAAAGTTAAGAAAATATTCTATCATGGAAACTACTTGTTGATTTCTTCCAATAAAGCATTGTATACAATTTCATACAACAGAGAAAATATTTTCGAACAAACCAAGAAACATCTTCGGCTAATTTTCAACAAACTTTGCTCAATCCATTACAAGACTACTACTGTTTGGATAGTGTTTAAAAAGGGAAGAAAAATGAACATACTTTTCCTGTGTTTGTTTAAGACGTTCTTCATCCCTTTTTCGTTGTACGTCATATTCTTCAATACGAACACGACGATCTTCTAGTAAAGATTCAATTTGTTCTTTAGCTAATTTAGTTTGTTCTTCAAGTTGAGCTTGAAGCGCTTCGATTTGTAATAGAAGCGTTTCATTATCACGTATTTGTGATGCATTATTTGACGATTTTTTTTCGACTAGATCTTCTATTTTGATACAAAAAAAACAAGAAATATCATTGAATTTCTATCAATATTTCTGAATGCAAATTTAAATGAACATACTTTTCTGAGAATTAGATGGACGTTGTTCATTAACAACAACAGGTGAAATTTTTTGTGGAACAATACCAGTTCCTGGTGGTTCCTTAATGAAATAAGTTATTTCTTCTTCAGTGACACCACAGAGATTTAATAAACGATTGATTTTTTTACGATCTTGTAATTCTTGAATCTAAATTAGAATTTTAATGAAAAAAATTCGAAATGTTTCAGTCTATGATTAGTTAACATACTTTGAGTCGATCATTTTCAGCATAAAGACGTAGAACTTGTTCGCGTTCTTGAAATAAATATATTTGTAGGTCACTTATAGCCTTTTGTAGTTCAACTATTTCATTTTCGCGTTTACGTAATTCCCATTCCAATTTATGCTACAAAACAAAGCCGTAATCGATTGATGAACTCCGAAGTTTAAATAGACGAAAGTCTCTATTGTACTGTTTCATTGTAAAAATAGTATAGTCTCTCGTAACTTATCTTCTGAGATCTAAGTATTGAAGAGTTTCTCATGTGAAAGTATCTACATTCATTAAGATCATCTACCAGGTTAGAAAGGATTTGTGAATCAATAAAAAGTTTCGTTATCATTTCATTTCAAATACAAATATTTTCTATAAACTTTTATCAGTTGAATTCAACATAATTTTCTATATTGTAAAATGTATATAAAATAAACACCTTTTCTTCAACTGCAACTTTGCATCGATCAAGTTTTAGAAGAATATCATCTCGTTCGTTATCATATTGTGCGAGTTTTCGTCGATAAAATTCTAATAATTCTCTTGATGGACGCAAATATCCTTGAATAAAAGAACAAAAATAAAAATAAAAAACACGAGTTCAATCATTTGACAAACCAAGGCGTTCTTCAATTGTTGGTATTCCTGATCCATTTTTGATGGTTACTTTTTTTGTTGGCTTTGTTACTGCTGATCCAGGATGAGAATTAGTTTGTTTTTCTGATGTTGGCCGAGGCATTGGTAAAAAAGAACAAGAAACAGAATTAAAAAAAATTGAACAGATCAGCGGTTGACATTCATTCTTGAATAGAATGTCATGGAAACGGAACAGTAAAAACATATGTCATAGAAGAAAAAGAAAAAGAGTCTAACAGAAATAAATATCGAATCAAAATTAAATTCTTTTATCTACTAGTAAAAGTTGAAAATCATTTTCGTTTACATTAGCAATGAGCGACCTCTCCATTATGATTGGTTAGAAAACAACTACACTGACTCATGACCTGTATGATATGATATGTGAAAAAAAAAGAAAAGAGGAAGGAGAGACAAAAATAGGTGAAATTTTTCATTCACCCACGAGTTATTTTAAGATAAAATGATGAACGGTTATTACAATCCCATTGACAAAGGATTAAATGAAGCACGTAGAATAGTCAGTCAAATGGGTGCTGAGGATTTAAAACGATTAATGAGTAATGAGGATGAAGTCACAAAACTTGTACGAAATTTACCTGAAGTATGTCAAAATTGATTGTAAATTTCACCATATTAAATTTTTCTATTAGATTCAACAAATGGAAACTATTAAAGAAAGTTTAAAAGAAAGTATTAAACTTTTAGCAATGCGTAATCTTGAACAAGAACCAATGCTTATTCATGAAAAACAAAAACTTGCTCAACTACATGATGAACTTCGTCAAGTAAAAGAAAAGTATGACAGTATACGAGGAGAATATGGTAAAGTGAAAATTAGAAATTGATTTTATTTTTGAAATTATATTTTTGTTGATAGACGAGCAAACTGGTGACACAAGTCCAGACATGATTTATGCATTATTAAAAACAGCTGCATCCGACCTCGATCAATCAACAGAAGTATGTAAAAGTTGAATGGATCTTCGATTCAGAATAAGGAAAACAACGAATAATTTCGTATCAGATGTTTTCGAATGCAATGTAATGTTTTAGCTTAGAGACTTTTCAATGAACTGATGGTTTTGAATAGAATCAAAGATTTTGTTCGTAATTAAAAAAAAACTAGCTGCTTTGATGTTTAAAAACTAGAAATGTTTTTTCTTATTGAAACGGATTATTACTTGAACGATGAGTTTCATGTTGTCTATGATAAATAATATTTGAAATGAGAATTTATTTTGTTTTTTCGTAATTTTAGGAAACTGCTGAATACTTTTTTAATGTTAAAAGAACAGAAGATGAAGTCACAGAATTTGAACGTCGTTTTATTGAAGACCGAAAACGAGCACATGAACTAAAAGTAAAAGCTGACAAATTTAATGAATTAATGCAAATGTCCCAAGCAACAAGCTATTTGAATTCTAATCAACACATGCGTACTGGTGGTTATCAGTAAATGACAACGAATATCTCTATATATTTATTTACTTCACTGTCTAGTATTTTAATAAAAAAACGAACCATATGAATGTATTACTGTATTATCGGAAACTTGCTTTGTTTTAATATTTTGTCGGGAGCACATTTTAATTGTGACTATCCGCTGAATGTAATGTGATTACACCTTTCAATTTATTTTATTTTAGATAAAATCATGTTAGAAATTCGCCCAGAACAAGAGTCCGATAAAACTGATGTATTTCGAGTACATCAAGATGGTTTTCAACGAAATGATGAAGCTGAACTTGTTGATAAACTTCGAGAAAATAGTCAATTTAATACAAGCCTTTCATTTGTTGCGTTAATTGATAACAAAATTGTTGGTCATCTTTTATTCACACCTATTAAAATCAATTATTCGTTCACTTCGAAATCGTTTTCGAGTCTTGCACTTGCACCTATTTCAATTTTGAGTGACTATCAAAGACAAAGCATTGGTAGTAAATTAATTGAATACGGATTAAATGAATTGAAAGCACAAGGTTTTGCATCGGTTATCGTTCTCGGTCATGAGAATTTTTATCCACGTTTTGGTTTTGTGCCTGCTAAAAAGTATAAAATTCGAGCTCCAATACCTCTTAAGAATGATAATTGTTTTATGGCACTTGAATTGAAACCAGACACATTTCCGCTGAATGATGAAGAAGGAGTTGTGCAATATTTATCAGAATTTGGTTTATAAGCATCTTTGATTTTCCTATTTTTTTTTCTTCTAGATATTTTATACTAGTTATGTCTATGGGAAAACGGTAAGTTAATTAAATTTCTGTCTCGTTCTTTTCTCTTTAATCTGTGCAGCTTGATTTAGTGCGACAAAGGTCGTGTCCTATAACGAACAAAACGATGATGATGGTAAAGTGTTCATTTTTTTATCTTATTTCTTTCTTTATGTAATTGATTTCTATTCAGATTTTTTACCGGCTGTTGATAATACTAAAAAGAGTCGTAGTGTAAAATCCAATCGTACTTCAACAGAATCGACAACTAATACTAAATCTTTGCCACAGAAATCTGGTGAAAAGTTAGTTCATATTTCTGTAATTTCTGTCAATTACGAGTCTAAATTGTTTTTAGATTATCTAAATCTGAACAGGAAAAATCTAAAAGAGTGATTGCAAGTCCAAAGAAATCACCTAAAAAACTAACAACAGAAACTTCAATCATTATTCATGAAAAAGCAAATACACATAGTCAATCTATGATATTCAGCAATGGTAAGAATAAGTTCTTCATGAGAGACAATTTATCTCACGAAAGTTTTGTTTTATAAGGTTGAATCATTTTCCGAAAATGTTATGAAAACGTTTGTAATCTTTAGAAGTTTTCTGCGTTAGATAAATATTTCTGACGTCTATACTAAAAGACTTGTTCTCATGAGAATCAAAATTGATTGAGAAAAAGTTAACGACACTCGCTGTTCCTAAGGAATGTGTTTTCCTTTTTAGACACTGAGACATCACCAGAACACTTAGCTGATGTTGATGATCAAGAGGAAGATTTATCACCAAAAAGTAAACGTATGAAACATGAAGCAGGTAACTTTTGGTTTTTATATTATGAATAATTATACGTGTAATTCTAGACGATGATACTCATGATGATGAATCTGAGAATAAGAATGAAGAAGAAGAACTCGGTGAAGACGTTTCAATGTCTAATGAAATTTCAATCTCGACAACAAAAGAAAAAATTAAGAACGCCGGTAAGTTTGTACTGAATTCTTATAATATGATACGATTTTATAAAAAAATCTATTTTTTTTTATAGAAATGTCAGTAGATCATCATATAATACTAACTGATGATCGACATTTTCCAAGTAAAAATTGATTTGTAATTGAATTCATGTTTATTTCATTTTTGTTTTATTTTCAGCTCGAACGTCCGATCTTCCAAAGACGCGAGCATCGGTTCCATTAGGTTTTCCAACTAGTAAGATAAATATTTCATCACCGCATGCATTTCGTGTTGGTTTGTCACGTAAATCATCAACTATAAAACCTCTTCATCCTAATATCACTTCACGTGTTGTTCATGAATAATTCTATGTGTGTTTTATCCTTGATATTCGTATGATTGTGTATTTATTGTATAGCTATATTCTTTTTTTTACAAGTAACGTTAAGACAGCACGAAATAGAATGTTTTATTTCTAGATACGCATTTCAATCGTTAAATGTGATGACAACACTTGTTGCTACAATGGCAAATGATGAAAATAATAATAATAATAATAATGATTTAACAACAGTTAAATTTTTAATACATTATCAACAAGAAGCAACTGTTATTTATTTACCATATACTTTAACAATAGAAGTATTGTATAATCATTTGAGTTCCATATGTCATTTAGCCTTAACAAATCCGCCAACATTTACTATCAAATGGCTTGACGAATCTTTAGATGCCATAACAATGTCATCGCAAAGAGAATTAAATACAGCTATGCGTTTATATAAAAAACATTCTAGTAAAGAATTGCATTTACATGTGTTTTCAAATCGCCCTGAACAACCTGGACTTTTATGTCCTGGAGAAGATCCAGTGATATATCGACGTGGTGCGCGTCGTTGGAGAAAACTTTACTTAATTCATGGGCATCGTTATCAAGCTAAACGATTTAGTACAACAGCGGCATGCACTGTTTGTAATGATCGATTATGGGGTTTAGGTAGACAAGGTTATAAATGTCTTGATTGTCGAGTAAGTTCAAACACAAATTTGCAAATAGGCACTATCATATATCGCTTTTTAATCAAGGTTTTGGTTCATAAACGATGTGTAAAACAGCTACGCATTGTCTGTGGTACAACCTCACCGCAACATTCAAAATTTAACGATTTGAATGAACAACTTACATCTGTGAATAGTAAAGTAAATGGACATCAAAATGGATTTCATGAACCAATTGATGGACACAGACCATCTAATGTTAGTGCTGGGAATTCTCGAGACTCTATGTCAAAACAAAAAATGTCAAATACTTCTAAATCTGGTCCAACGAAAAGAACACACGGTATTGTTAGTTGTTTGATAAACAAAATTAATCGAGGTTTTTTAATTCATACTCTAAAATTATATATTCATTCGTAAGTAGTGTACAAAGGATCGGCATGGAAAGAATGCTGTTTCAATGTTGAAGGAAAGCTGAAATTGCTCAAAAATTAGAAATAATAGCAGATATTTTTTTTGTTGCTTGGAATTGTCACATTTCTGCTATAGATTTTTCCTCTTTCAATTAGGATACCTGTAGATAACTAAAATATTGTCGGAAATATTTTCTAAAATTAAAGTATCGTTTTTCAGTCAAGACTACTGAGATATTGTATCGATACGTTCGAAACGTAAAATTTTGTTTAGTGACTAAGTAAAACGAAAATTTTATTCTATGGAGGCATTAATGTTTAGTTAAAATTCTCATAAGATCAAGATAAAAACATAGAACAACGTGGAAACATTTCCAACAGATTTGAGATTCTTGCGGTAGAAAATTTGATCAAATAACGTTATTTTCTTGTAATTACTAATTTCCTATTCGAATAATATAAGTGAAATATGTTTACAAAATAGGAAAGATTTTCTATAAATCCTAATTACTTACTACCATGCTAAAAAATTCTCTCTCATCTAGTATTGCACACCAAGGTTGCTAATCGATTTTGACAGCTAAATTGGAATAATCAGTTAGAATCGAGATACAATTATTAGAGTTTAATTAAAATTTTATTCAATGTTATCTTTAGGTGTTACAGATCTTGATCATAATTCCATTGAAGATCCAAATGGTGCTCATAGTAATCTGATAGATGCTGATGTTGATATGCAAAATTCTACATCAACATCTCCAATAATAAGTTTACAAGATTTTGAATTACTTAAAGTTATTGGACGTGGTTCCTATGCAAAAGTATTCTTAGCAGAATATCGACCTCGACATTTACGCAACAATCAAAATAATAATCAAACTCCACGTCTATACGCAATGAAAGTCATTAAGAAATCTATTGTTAACGATGATGAAGATATTGATTGGATTCAATGTGAAAAGAATGTTTTCGAGAAAGCAACAAATCATCCATTTTTAGTTGGTTTACATTCATGCTTTCAGACACCGTCAAGACTTTTTTTTGTTATTGAATTTGTTACTGGTGGTGATTTAATGTATCATATGCAACGACAACGAAAACTTCCTGAATCAAGTGCTAGGTTAAACAAAATAGGTTTACGGGAAAATAATTTCTCATTTCTAATTTTTATTTAGATTTTATGCAGCTGAAATGACAATTGCTTTACATTTTTTACATGAACACGGTGTTATTTATCGTGATTTAAAATTAGATAATGTTCTACTCGATGCTGATGGTCATATTAAATTAACAGATTATGGCATGTGCAAGGAAGGTTTAGATTTTAAACGTGATGAACGAACGAGTACATTTTGTGGTACACCAAATTATTTAGCACCAGAAATGTTACGTAATGATGATTATAATTTTAGTGTAGATTGGTGGGCATTGGGTAAGAAAAAAAATTTTCTCCCATTGAATTATACGTTTTTACGTATTAGGTGTACTTATGTTTGAAATGATGGCTGGACGTTCACCATTTGAAATAGTCGGTTCAGCTGAAAACCCTGATTTAAATACCGAGGATCGTTTATTTCAAGTTATACTTGAACAACCAATACGAATTCCACGTTCATTAACTGTTAAAGCAAAAAACGTTCTTGATGGTTTTCTTAATAAAAATCCATCAAATCGACTAGGTTGTCGTTATGATCAAATATTGGGTTGCAGAGCTGGTTTTCAAGATATATGTTTACATCCGTTCTTTCATCCAGCTATTGATTGGCAACGTTTAGAAGCCAAGCAAATTACTCCACCATATAGACCAATGCTAACAGAAGATAATGATCTGTCACATTTTGATCCACAATTTACAAATGAAGATGTCATTTTAACACCTGAAGACGAACAAGTTTTAGCTCGTATTCAACAGTCAGAATTTGAAGGCTTCGAATATGTTAATCCTTTAATTATGACTGTAGAAGGCAATGTTTAATCTAGTATCCATGTTTACTTGCAATAATTATTCTCATTTATTTACCGTTATGTTCATTTTCAATATATTTCTCTGTTTGCTGAAGTATACCTATCTCAATTGTATTGTATAATCAATTTGGTTTTTTTTCGTTCTTGTACTTAACATATACATTCCATAAATAATAATAATAATCAGTTCAGATAATCCTATAAATAAAAATTCACTCAGAATCTTATCGTTAATGTGTGCAACGCTTTCAACCAAGTTTGATTTAACTCTACGAGCCTTGAAGGTGTGGATGTGAGGATGCGCAAGCGAATGTTCGTATGAGTTCGAGTATAGAGGAATCAAGCATCGATTTTGCCAACATCCGCACTCTTTTTTTCCGTTTACAACATACACGATTGCTTGGCGTCCATGACTCAGTTTTTCATTAAACTACACTTGAACTGTTTACCATTTTCACTTCTGTCGTTCACTGTCGATGAATTTCTATTTCGTCTGACAGATAGAAGATTTAAGAGAAATTTTGTTAAATCCTACAGCAACAGAGAGCTCTCGCCTGTTTTCTCACCAAATAGCTTTTAGTTGGAATCAAAAACAGAAGCACACATAAAAATATGTTTTACTTTTAAATTCGACGAAATCATCTCGAGTTTCAGTCATCTATAAATTATTTCAAAACAAACGTTCGTCGATATAATTCGAGAAAAATGACATACCAAGTTCTGTTGAAATCGTGCATTGATACTAGTTTCAAATACGAATGGTAAGGGTTGCAATGGAAAACGTTATCATAATAAGGATGTCATCGCATGCTCTCGTTGTCATGGTTCTGGTGAAGGTGCTGGTATTAGTTTGTCAGACTGTAGTCAATGTCACGGTAAAAGCTATTGTAGTTAAGATTGAGTGAATTTCCTCTTACGATCATGTTGTACAGTAAAATTCAAATTATATTAACTTTGTTTTGTGTTCTGTTTGTAACATTGGTACATTTCAAGAATAAAAAAAGTTTTTTTCTTTTATGGTATCGAAATGTTGCTTCCAGTCGAATTCTTGACAGTCTATGATTCTTCGAAATATTTCTTCGCTATTTCCTTTTCGGCACCTGTCTGTAAGTGTATCAATGGCAAGGCCCTCTTTGTTGGCTTCGTATGTCTCTCTGATGAATCAATAGTTGGAGCGAATATTGTTCATTTATTTATATCATCATAGAGAGGCACGTAAATAAATGATACAAGCTGAAAAAGACTTCGAGTTCATCAGTGTTTACTTAAAAAGATATTTATTATAATTCAGAAAATTCATTTTATTTGTTTATAATTCTGATTGACTCATGTCAATGCTGTCCAACTCATGAATTTAAGTTTAAAAGTTAAGGGTTAAAACATGTTTCCAACTCCATTGGATAGTCATATTCATAAGCGGGCACCTTGCCTGTTACCCAGTTGACAAATCGAGTAACAGATGTTGACACCAACGTTCCTGTGTTCAAATCGTACGTTTTCAGAACTATTTTTATTGGCTTTTTTTCTGCTTTTTTCACATAAAGTCGATTTACATAACGATAATGATGATAGGTTTCATTGAATTCAGTTTTCCAAGTTAGACAAGTTCCATCGCAGTCGGGATCAAACATTAGTTCATCATATTTTTTCTGTTCGCCACCAAATGATTGAACCAGATTTGGCCAATAATTCATTTCATTGTATGGACCACCTCTATTGGCAATACACTGTGGCGGTTGTGCCATGAAATTAAATGAATATGTGCGACCATCATCGCGTACATAGATATCTTGATTACCACCAAACTCTACATCGCCAGTATTTGAGAACCACAAACGTGACATTTTACCTGCTTCTTTATCGATAGCATATCGCTCTTGAGCAACATCATCTGATGTCCATGTAAATCGATATTGATCGGGATTTGGGATTTGACCTGTTGTGAAATGACTCGACAATAAAGCCAATAGAAGAACTGTAACTGTCATCATTGCTTGCATTTAATGAAAACAACACATATCTTTTCTCGAGGCTTAAATAAAAAGCAACTTACTAAATCATTACTATCTAAGAGTCCACAATTATTCTATGTGATATTCAACAGCTGCTATTAATGGGACACTTTTTTATGGTAGTATTGTAGAAACAAGCAACTCTATTCCATATATAATAAAGTTAGCAATAAGTTCATGAAGATCGATGAAGTAGGAGAATGATATCTTCAGAAACCTATTCCTGATATTGTTAGCATTATCTACTGATAACATAGCGGAAAAACGATCAGTGCATCTTGAAAATTCGATGAATTACACATTTAAAAGTTTCTCATGAGTTTATTTCCAAAATAACTATCATAATTTTCAGCATGTTTATTTATGAACGAGTTGTCTGCCAGTAAGTAGTGATGAAGTTACTTTTGCGTACAATGTGTTTTCGTTTATTCATTCTAAAAAATTTTTTATTGAATAGAATGAACAAATCTTGAGATACAATTAAAAGTGAAATTGGATCCTGAAGAATCGATTTCTATACATTGACAGCCAGAAAGATGCTTTTATGTTTTATGTTGAGATTACTTTATTTCATAAGGAGAAAAATCGATAAGTTCAAATTCACTAACCACGATAGAATATCAAGATATCTGTTATAAAAAATAGATGAACAATAGAAATTTATCAAAAACAAAATTGGCTTATTTCTAGTGATTGGCAAAACCAATGAAAAACATTTCTCAGAAGTATTTTTATATGACGTTAATGACATGTGGTTTTAGTCTACATTTAACATACACGATATTTTTACAGTACTGAAGAAAATTAGGTAGGCATAAGCGTGTTGGGTGCGAATAAACAATCTGCGATACTTTTTTAAATCAGTTTGAAATTTTGCTAGTATTGAAGTAATTATTTAATTCGTTGGAATGCTAACCTGAGAGAAGCGTGACTGGTTTTTCGTTAATAATTAAAGTTTTTTTTTTCACTTTGAAAGCGTACTCGGTAAAAAAGAAACAAGTAGTGAATTAGATAGACCTCATCGAGTTTGGCTTGAAGCACGGGTGATCTAAGTTGGAGTGCTAGTTATAGAGAATCCACTCAGGAAAACCTCGAATCCTGACCTTAGATATTCTATGTAGTAAGAAGTAGATTTCCTAGAAGAACAACAAACCTAGCGATAGTCGCGATTTTCAAGTGAAAATTAGTATGACATTAAGTATCCGATTTCTGCACACCGCTCACACCGACATCAACATCAAGGGCAACAACAACAACGAGCATGCGCGTCCTGATTATTGTTATACCGCTTTGCGATCAAAATGCTTCTCAAAGTCTGTGAGCTATTTGGCAACGTCTGTCATTTCCCACCCCACATTTATAGCTTGATATCAGTGTGAGATTTTTAATTTCTACAATAATATTTTTGAATATAGGCAAACGAAGTGTCAAGCTGATTTGGTCTCAAATTTTCTACGCATTGATTTTTATTCGATGAAATTCATTGCGAATTGAAGATAGTGTCGGATGCTTGTGTTTAAATATTTTGCCCGTGTAGATACTGTAATGCTTGCTTCGGTCATTATATTTCTCTTGTGAGAGTAGTCACTGAATAAAAAATAATTTGAATATTTACCTGCCGTCAATCTCATTATTTCGGCACTCGAGGCCATTCAAAATATCACAGTTTACTCCGAATTTAAAGAAGCCTCAACAAAATGTTGCAGCCAATATTAATAATGATTGCTGCAGGAACTTTAGTTGTTTTTTCAATTCTTCATATTAAAATGTTTTTTTCTACATCCACTTCGAATTTAAAAGTTTTGAAAAACATTCGAATGACTTTCGTTCTCGAAAATAGTACTTTTTCCAGGTAGTATCTGAACCGTTCGCAATTTTTACATAATGTATTATCGTAGCGTAAATTAATTTAACATCAAAACCAAAATCAGATGTTATGAACAGGATACGTGCACCAACGGCATGAGAGAAAACTCTTAACAGTCATTCTTAAACAAACTTTGCCTCAAAGTTTTTAAGTGAAGCGACTTTAGATTTGTTTATCCCATGGTTTTAGTTATGTGACCAATTTTTTAATAGTCTCTTGATCTGATGAACGCATCCATCCACTTTATCATGGCCCCAGATGCATTATTCCTACGCGCATTGATGCACTACTTAATGTTTTTGTTTATCAACATTGATGTATCTGTTGGAGGGGAAATTAAAATTTTAATCTCACCTAGGGCAAATTAAAATTTTTTGTATTTTTTATATAATTTTCGATTTTTCTGAAATAGGTAAAAATGTACTGTTTGTGTGA